GCTAGTTTATGTTCTGTTGCTAGGCATTTTTTTCATTTTTGGTGCTAGAACGAGGCAAGTCCAAATTAAAAGTGTTAAAATTTCATGTATTTTGAAAGTTTGTTATTATTTGAATAAGTATGCGCTAATTGATAGCTAAGAAGAATATAATTTAAAATAAATAAACTTTCTGAAACAAAATTTGAAAATGGGGGAAAGTTTTTTTCGTTTATCTCAGAAACATAAAATGTGGACTTACCTCTTTCTTGCAGCAATGTCTTCAATTGTGCAATTTAAAAATATTGGCGAAGGAGAGTTTGCTTATTTCAATTACACGCTAAATAGAGCGTCTTGGCACTCAAATCGAGCGTCAACTCGAAGTCAGCGTCAAGCGTCCACTTAACGCTACAATTCAAAAAAGTCCCCAAAGTAACTAGTTTGACGCTCAAAGTGAGCGTCAAGCGTCAGCATGAAAATGCACCTTTAGCCGTTGATACACTGTTGGCGCGAATAAAAACATGGCGGAAAATTGAGAACGCCCAGATCCATCGACATATAGTACTGGACGGAGCATGCGGTAAGAATCCTTTGATCTTTCGTATGCCGGGACCTAGAAAGAGAAAAATAGATATGTAGGTCATAGACATATATATATATAGACCACAGACTTTATATAATACTAGACTGCTAACTGCTTATGTACAAGGCGGCTGACTTTCTATGTATTAAGCGATTATATGTAAGGTCATTCATTCTGCGCATGCGCTTTGACGCAATATAGGTTACGTTCATCTTAGGGCCAGTTTCACAAACGTCGGTTAACTGCCCAGGCAGAACATCATGTCGATTCGACGTCCAACAGACGTCTTTTAGACATCTATTAGACATCTCCGACATCTATTAGACATCTAATCGACATCAACGTTCTGGCTGGGTGCTAACGGGAGGTTAATCGATCGGTTCTCCGCCACTTCTTAGATAACAATATAGAAAGAGCTATGGAGTGGACTAAACTCTGGTTAACAGTTAACCGACGTTTGCGAAATTGTACCCTTATAAATGATAAAATATCGCAATGTCGTAATACTATATTCTCGAAGTGTCGCAGTGTAAATACTTTCACTCGATATACTTACCTAAAATAGGCAACTTTATCTTTATTTATAGTGCTGTCACACATATAAATGGCACATTTGAGTGGCATAATGATTTTTTAATATCAGAATACGATTCAACGTGACGTCTGAAGGATGAGGTTATCTCACGTATATTCTGTGGTTATATACCTATATCGCGCATGGTAGAAATATCACTATACGCACATGCGCAAAATGAGATACCTTTGTATGTACATGCTTTCCGCAGTCATTTTATATAAGCGAAATTTAGGGAGTTATCAGTCTAGTATTGGCTGTGTTCTCCAGAAGTTAGCGCTTAATAAGCGCTTTATGCTGATTGGATAGATCTAGAAAAATAGCTCTATTTCAGCACAGATCTGAAAGTATAATCCAATGAACGCAAAACGCTTAGCAAGCGTTCTAACTTCTGCTGGACACAGGCATAATATAGAAGTCTGTGATATAGACCCAGCGTTCTGTGAGTGGAGTTGTCCGCGTCTTCTAAAGGACATAACGATATAGAGGAAGGTGCTGTCTCCGTCACTCAGCAGGTCTGGAGGGGGAACGTCGAGGGGAACTAGAGGCGCGCGCACCGCGTACGGCCTTGCTAGTGTCCCTAGAATAGTTTTAGGAAAAAAATAAGTCTATTTTATTTAACTTTTTGTTACAAATACTTTATTGATTCGTCAACTTCGACAATTTTTTTAACAATAATTTTTATTGACCGCAACTGGCGATTAAAATTCTTATTGCGAAAAATATTACTCCAACCAGGATTCGAACCTGGGACCTCCCTCAATCCGTGACGGGCGTCTTAGCCAGCTCGACCACTGGGGCTGTGGTAATACTATTCGCAATAACACATATTATTAAGATGTTGTTTACGCGTCTATTTCGACTTTTCAGAAACTGTGCGTCGATACAGGTTGTCGACTGCGCAGTGAATTGTCGATTTTTTGAATTCCCCTTTCCCCTCCCTCCCCCCGGTCCCTTTCCCCCTATTACGGAGGAGCACCATATTTCAGGTCAATCATCTTAATAATATACATATTATTGCGAATAGTACATTACCACAGTCCCAGTGGTCGAGCTGGCTAAGACGCCCGTCACGGATTGAAGGAGGTCCCAGGTTCGAATCCTGGTTGGGGTAATATTTTTCGCAATAAGAATTTTAATCGCCAGTTGCGATCAATAAAAATTATTGATGTTGTTAATTACCACTGGCGACTTTTAAGAATATTCTTACTAATTTTTTTAACATTTTTTTTTCATTTTTAAATTCTCTTGGTGAGCATTCTGTCGCATCCTTCATCAACATGTACAACATCATCCAGTTGTCCCTGTAACGTCGGCCCCTGACGCCTTTCTTGGTTGCTGCGTCAATGATTTCTTTCAGTGCCAATTGTTGAGCCGCTGAGATATTAAGTGCAGAACATTTTTCAGTCAAACTTGCTTGTTGCATATTAGCTATTTGTTCTTCTTGTTGTTTAAGATAACTCGTCAGATATTTCTCGCGTTTTTTAGCTCGAATTATTTTACATTTTTGACGTCGGTATTTCAATCGCAACGCTATCAGCTTACGACGATTTATATGCTCCGAAGCATCAGAAACGTGATTTAACGTCAAATGAATTTTCCGCCGTGTTGTCTGCTGTATGCGCTTCCTCATTTTTGTACAACTATCGCATCTTCGGTTTTTGAAAATAAGACTGCAGTCTTTGCTGCGCCACTGTTGAATGGTGTCTTGAAATACGGCACCAGCTGCAATATTATTGATATTAATTTCGCCCAAGCCATGGCAAACATTCATTCCCTTAAACTTGTCCAAGACGTTTAGAAGCGTTTCAATTCCTTCCAAAGCTTCGTCGAGATTTGCTTTTTGCACGTTAACATCTCGTCCGTAAACGTAAAATTGAAGTTTTCTGTCCGAATCGAGAGTAACGCATTTTTGTATTACCGGTAAACGCTTTCCATTTTCGACTCGCGTTATTGCATAAGTAAATAGAATACTTTGCCCATTTGTAGCAGGTATTTTGCTAACGCTCCAATATTCAGGTAATTTGTTAGATATTTCTTGATAAATACGATCACTTTCGCTCTTTATATCTGTAACAATGAAGCAAGTACTATTGATGAAAAATCCGTATAAATTTTTGTTCTTTTTTCCGATTCATCAAATAAACTTGATGTCCTTATTTATCTCAGTAACTTACATTTCCTTGTGATAACGGATGAACATATGGTGATTAGTTCCTTGAGTGCTATCGGTGCTGTTACTGAAGGATCAGTATCCACAAGTGCTATCGGTGCTGTCACCGGAGGATCAGTATCCACAAGTGCTACCGGTGCTATCACCGGAGGATCAGTATCCGCGTGTGCTACCGGTGTTGTTACCAAAGGATCAGCATCCATCGGTAAAGCCAATTCGACGCCATCCACAATTGGCAACACAAAACTGCAACTGGTACCTGTAAATTAAAAACATTAAATATTGTAATTATAAACTACATTCCATTACATTTTTTAAGTTGTACAATAATACTTGTTTCAGTAGAGGACTCCTTGATCGAAGATCCAAGCTGAACCGAATCGCTCACGACGCCAACGGACTCGCCAGAAATTTTCCATTGCCTTGTTCGAATCGTGTCCTTTGTTGTTGAAAGGTCATGAAACTTTGATGGAACAGCAAGCTTTCTGAGTTGAGGGCGCTTGTATGGTTCCTTCAATATAACATGTACGTAATATATGTAATATGAGATCGCATCCTTTGCACATGTACAATTTATCTAATATAAACTCACCTGAGCGATGATTCGACCATTCGAGTCTCGTTTAATCCATTCACGGATTATATCTTCCTCATTAAAGTGCTTGTCGCAAACAACGTGTGTCGGCTTTAGTGTAACAATGCCTGGAATAGCTGCCACCCATTGTTTATATTGAACGGCATTTCTTGGCACTCGAAATACTGAGCGGTTTTCACGAAACACATTATTGCAATTTGGTACGACGCACGGCGTGGGCATTCTTAGGTTATCGGCTAGCCGACACGGCCATGACGGCTCGTCAAATATAACCTTCGGAATACAATGTATTCCGAAGGTATAATATATAGCTCTTTTACCAAAGTATCGCAGCGACTCTCGTGGCCAAGAAACGAACGATTTTTGGCTTAAAAATTCGACCTACCCCCACCATATGAGTTGAAGGACCTGTATGTAAGACCGTGGTCGTCACCTTTGATCTGGGCGTTCTCAATCACTGAAATATATACTAACTGGAACGCGCGCTAGAGCCGAGCCGTGTGTACCGAGAGAGAGCATCGTCGAGTGGCGTCTGTCATTGTCTAGTACAGTTCGAACCAAAAGTTAAATCGAAACGCAGCACAACTGGGCGAGATCGTGTAAAGGCCTTCACACATAAAATTCCGTAAGGACGTAAAACGTAAGCATAAGAAAATCGACCAATCACAGTCGAGAACGTAAGGCAATGACGCAAGCAGTAGCAAATCCAATCTGTTGATTTTCTTACGCTTACGTTTTACGTCCTTACGGAATTTTATGTGTGAAGGCCTTAACCTCTGACAACGAGTTAATTTCTCGATCGGATTGTACCTTTCCGTCCCCACTCTCGACCACCCTATAAGCCAGACAGTGACAAACGCCACTCGACGATGCTCTCTCTCGGTACACACGGTTCGGCTTTAGCGCGCGTGCCAGTTAGTATATATTTCAGTGTTCTCAATTTTCCGCCATGTTTTTATTCTCGCCAACAGTGTATCAACGGCTAAAAGTGCCTGGGCCCTTTTCAGGATCGTATCCAGGAAAGGCGCATACGAACTATCGTACATTATTTATTGTAAATGGAAATGGCCTATGAAAAAATGTTCTAATAAAAGTAATTAATGTAATTACTTGCTCCAATGTTTAAAGGTATTTACGCGTTATTCGTCAACACTGCGAATTTTTCAATGTCACACCGACTTTGCACTAACACACGTACAAAGATCCTGTGATTGGTCAGAATAAAAACATGTCGGATGCGCAGTACGGATCGGCGCGAACGTGAAACAAAAGAGCGAGTGCCATTACTGGTTATACTGTGGTCATGGAGAATGTATAAGGAGACCGAACTGCCCGTAATCAGAATGGGCCGATGTTTGTGCCCGCCAGACGTTCTGAAAAGCAATACTGGGAGCGCTGTCATCAATTAACTCCATTCGCATTCGTACGTGACACATGGTTGTCATATGCATGAAGCTTTCGTGGTTATATAATATACATCCGATCTGTAAATAAGATGAGGAGATGGATTGTGTATCTTTGAAACTTGTGGAGATTACAAAAGTGAGCGAATTCACAGATTGAAATTATAAATACTCACTTTTGTAATTTTCGTAAGTTTCAGAAATTGACCTCCAGATAACAACAGTTAAGCCCGCTGCAGACGATGCTATTTTTCCTGCTGGATTGCTTGCGATTTAGTAAATTACTATCATTGCACCACTCAGCATTCAGGATTCCTAGTAATTTACTAAATTGCAAGCAATCCAGCAGGAAAAATAGCATCGTCTGCAGCGGGCTTTATACGCTGTATCTACGAGATCGGTAACTCATGAGCGAATTCTTAATCGCGTAAGGCGACGCCAGCGCTACAAGTGGCAAAATTTTGATTCACTGGATGGCAAAAATGTCGGCCCACTTTCGGTGACGTGTTCCAGACCTAGGGTCTGTTTTTTATTGCTGCACTCCTGAACTAGTGCACACTGGTGCAATGAGTTGGAATGAGAGGTAATCTATGGGTGCTTACGAAGAAGCGCTCGGAGTTAGGTTTGGGTCGGACATGCGTACGCCTCTCTATGATTCATGTATTTCATGTCTTGCCCGAACTGTCTCTAATAGCAACCCGGGTTACTCGGGTTTGGGCAGGCCGATTGAGACCCGAGTAACCCGAGTAACCCGGGTTGCTATTAGTCCCAGTCTACAATAGAGATTTAAGCCCTAAGCCTTAAGAAATT